GTACATGCTACATATATTTCAAAATTGATCAAAAATGATGTATATAATATGCCATATATGACATATAGCCTATATTTCTTAGGTAATCTGCCACGTTTTTTTAACTGTGCACAGTTGTAGCTGCATTACTAGGCCTACTACGCTACTGTATTTCAATACATATTTTTTATGCTTATTTTGGTGGTACTTGGAGAGACAATTTTTTTTTTTCTGAGGTGGTACTTGATAAAAAAAAAGTTTAAGAACCACTGATCTAAACCTTTGCAAAGATGCTTGATGCTTGCAACTTCGTGCTTTTATTTTTCACTCTTTACTGCCTTCCTACACTAACTGAATGTGTGTTATTGAAAGATTAGTTTAAAATCAAATCCTGAAGGACCAGACATTTAAACATGCAAAAAATGCACGTAATGCTTGTTTCATCACCTGTAGTTCTGATCGTTCCTCTGGCATGTTTTTCATCGCTAGAGCCTGGATGCTGCTGTGTACCCAGGAAACCGATGGTGCAACTTTTCGGATGAAAGCAACTACTTTGTTCCACCAATTTTCCTTGGGGGAAAAAAAAAACTTACAGGCATGCCTTGTAAGTGGCTGTGTCTTGTTTGCAAATGCCAGACCATATTTGAAGGCTTAAGACTGCTATTTGCTAAATTCTCACCACTGTGGATTTGAATTTTCTGCATCTCCAATCCATGTAAACTCGAAACCAATGTAACGGTCACTATATTTGCGTTTATTACTTGACATTTTTTTAGTCTCTAGCGTAGGCCTAATTCTCTTCATTAGAACATCTCTGCTGGATTTCTCTGTTTCTGCCTGAGCCTCTTCACCTTCACCTTCACAGTATTTTAAATTAATGTTTCAAAAGCCAAACATGATTGTAATACCTATCGTTTTTATTCAGCATAACATTTTTTTTTAAATACAACAGACAATTAAAAAAAAATACAATGTGATGTAACTAAATTTGATTGATTGTGTGTGTGTGTGTGTGTGTGTGTGTGTGTGTGTGTGTGTGTGTGTGTGTGTGTGTGTGTGTGTGTGTGTGTGTGTGTGTGTGTGTGTGTGTGTGTGTGTGTGTGTGTGTGTGTGTGTGTATGTGTGTGTGTGTGTGTGTGTGTTTTACTCTACCGCTCAAAAGTTTAGGGTGAGTTTTATAAATTATACATTCTTATCTTTTTTTTGGGAAAACTATTCAGTTCATCAAGGCTATATTTATTAAATGTAAAAAATGTAATCGTTAAACATTTAGTAAAATGTAAAATAATTTTAAGTCATTATTGCTTTTATTACTATTAACATTAATAATAATAATAATAATAATAATAATAATAATAATAATAATAATAATAACAATAAAAACAACAATAATAATAATTAATATCAGAGTGATTTTTGGAGGCTCATGGGACTAAAGAGTGGAGTGATGAAGCTGAAAAATCATCTTTAAAATCACTGGAATAAATAATTACATTAAATGTCAAACTACTTTTAAACAGTTATTTTATAATGCAATAAAATTTCACTATTCTACAATATATACTGTATTTATAATAAACGCAGACTTGGTGAGCAGGAGTAGCTTATTTTAAAACATTTAACAATCATATTGACCCTAAACTTTTTACCAGTTGCGTATATAATATAAAACACCCACAGACATAGTCACCAAATAAAAAAAATCAGAGAGGTTAGACTTTCTCATACACAGTTTCGTTTCAGTTGTCAGGTTTTGTAAATATCTATTGAATTAATCAATCTATTAAAGAAGTGTCATTAGTTTGTTGGATTGTTTTGTTTTCTCACTACAATCGATCCGCTCCATGCGAGGATTTAGTGCTGTATTCACATATGCCAAACAAACCGCACTAAAGCCTGATTTATACTTCTGCGTCAAGTGACCGGCGTAACCCACGGCGCAGGCAACGCGCGTGGCTGTGCATTTATACTTCTGCGCGCTGTCTCTGTCGGTCTGCAAAAACACTTCCGAAACGCTAGTTGGCAGTGAGGTGTAAATGTTCCTCTGTTTCGAGTTTCTTCTCTGCTTTTTTGCTTTTCCTGAACACTTCCGGGATGAACAAGTGGCTCAAACTCGCTCATTTTGAGGCAGGAACTGGCGGACGTGCAACAACTTTAACTATGAGGTAAACACAAAACAAAACTTTCCATCCGGAGCTCTTTCACGGGACTCCACACTTGTAAACAATCGCTCGCGCCATTCGCGCGACTCTCTGTCCCGCCCAGACTCGTCAGCGCTACCAAGCCGACCAATCACAGAGCTTTTGCTACGCGTTGTTGCGACGTGTAGTTACATTTTTTGAGAGGTGCACGTCAGTGACGGCGATGGCCACGCCGAAGGGCTATGCGTCAGCGCCATAGCATACGCCGGCGTTTGACGCAGAAGTATAAATCAGCCTTAACAGGGAAAACGAGATTCCGAAACAAACTTCTATGTGTCAAAGCACCCTAAGATTTTCTTTCCCAATTGACAGACAGTCGCAGCCAAGGTAAACTTTGGTGAAAAGGCAGCACTGGTCCAATCAGGCCAGGATTCTATACACTAGCTTGAGCGTATCGCCTTATTGTTGAGCCCTGCCATATACAAGGCTGCTGCAATTCTCCATAGAAGAGGCCGATGTAGATGGTTCATCCCTATTGTCACTTGACTTCTTGATGACTATTCTATTTTATACCCCAGTTTGGGAACCACTGTATTACAAGAAACAACAGCATACAAAAAAGTGTAATGGTCTAGTCTTCAAAATGCAACCTAGTTTTTATTCCAAAACAAAGAGAAAAACTGGGAAAAATTAAAAATACTTTTGAGCCATTAGAGCTCCTGTAATGTAAGAAGTCTATTTTCAATATTGATTATTATGCATTCCAATGATAAAAATCCCTATAATTCTCAAAGTTTAGACTCTTACGGACAAAATGAGCCCTCCCATCTCTTTTCTTCTATCAAAGCTACTGTGATAAGTCAAATAGGACACCAGCTCCTGACTGGATAAGTGAGGTGTCAATCTACTGTTTTGGATTAAATCCTTGCAAATTTTTTGTGCGTTTCCCCTTTTGCGCACGTAGCAAAAGTACAAAGTCTTGTCTTGTGAACTGCCGATCAGCGCATGGATCAGTCTGAAAAAAGCTCACCTCTGAGCCTCTCTTTAAAGTAAAGTGGACATTAGTACAGCTTTGTGGTCTTCATACTTTCTTGGAGAATGAATGGCGATGAATGGACGCAGAAACATGGATTAAATAGCCTGGAATAGTTGCTTATCAAGCCATGGATCCAAAAGCTTTGCTTATTTACACTATCCATGTTTAGATCGGTAAGTTTTAACTCCACTCTCTTGAATGTTTGTATAGTTTATCAGGCCTTTGACATTTTTTGTTTGATGTTAGCTGTTTTGATCATTTGATCATCGTTGTGATGACGGCAGAGGTAAACAATGTATGCACACGTGTATGAATCTATAATGACCGCTGAACTGTATAGAGAACATATGCAGACACAAAATTAATGGAAAGAAATGTTTACGATGTGAAAGGAAGTAAACATAGTACAAACCATTATTCACGCTGAGCATTATAACCATCAGGTATTTGACTTACAGTTTTAGTTTGCTCTGCTCACAAATTTTTGGTCTCTCCCTTTCCTGTCTTTCAGTGGCTTTGGGTTTCAGATAATTAGACAAAATACCTCCTCGGTGACTGTCTTGAGTGTTCTTTTACACTGTAGATAAAGACGTGAGGTGCACGTCAGTGACGGCGACGGCCACGGCGAAGGGCTATGCGTCAGCACGCCGGTATTTGACGCAGAAGTATCAATCAGCCTTAAAGCGCCAGTTCAATTTGCTCCGGCCCTGCCTGGATCTTCTTCCTCTGCCCCCAGGACATTGTAATGTGTGCAGAATGTGGTTTTGCATTGTCTTTTTGAAATATGCATGTGTGTCCCTGTAAAAGGACGCATATTGTGCTCCAAAATCTCTACTTATCTTTCAGCAATAATAGTACCATCACAGAAGTGCAAATTACCTTAGCCAAGGTCACTGATACAACCCTATAAGATGACAGACCCTGACTTTTGGACTTGTTGCTGGTAAAAGTACGGATGATCCTTTTTCTTCTTTGGTCCAGAGCACTGGGCACTCATTTCTCCCAAAAAATACCTATCATAATGATTAATCTGTCCACAGTACACATTTCAACTGTGTGATCGCCCATCTTAGATGACTCCAAGCCCTGAGAAGTCGACGGCAATTCTGGACACTGTTAACATAGGGCTTCCTTTCCACACAGTACAGATTTCACTGACATTTGTAACTATGTATTGTGGCCTTAACAGCTTCATCAGTAATGTTGTCTTACCAACTATAAAGTGTATTGTATGAAGCACATTACTCCTCAATACAAACAAGCCCAATAAAATTATCCTACCCCTTATGATTTACAAGTTTCCAAGTATACGTCAGAAATTCAAATGCAAAAGAATTTGCGATTGCATTTGGATTTTGGCAGATTACATGATGCAGAGAAAAAGATATTAGATTTAATATAGATATATTATTAAGAAGAATAACAAGATATATAAGCTATTTAGATATAATATTGCTTTGTCAGGCTTATAGCTCGTAAGATATGAGCAATGCATTTGCAAATGGACTTTGCTTTTTCATTTAAAATGTGGCAGTCATGAAGAGTTTGCTAATGTGGGATTTGCAGTTGCATTTGGATTGTCACAACTTATGTTCCCATATTGTTATCCCATATTGTGAATACAATTGAAAATCCAATTTGCAAATGCATCTGAAAATTGTCTGTAATATCCTTCCATAACTGCCTATTTTATGACTGGTCGCTTTTTGACATTTTAGACATCTATTGCATTTTCACTGGCAGCCCTAAATTTGCCTTGTTTTTGCAAAGCTGTCTATTAGAAATGTATTAACACTTTTTTTTAAACACAAAAATGCTTGCAGGGCTCTATCTATTTGTCTTACCTTGTTGAAAACCCAGATCTCTCCATTAACAGTAGGTCGAGGCACCCCATGACCATTATAGTGAAAGAGAACACGTTCCTCCTTGGCATTTCTGCGTAGTGAAGTACACAACTTCTTTACTTCATCAACTGTAGGGTCCAAACTCTGCTTATACCGGGCCTGTAGGAAAGAAAATATTATATTTCAATGAAAAACATAAAAAGCATTAATAATTTATAATGGGTCTGCACTAAACTAAACATCAAAAAACTCATTTATCATAATGACTTGTTTAAACAACAACTTAATTGCACATTATAGTAAATATTGTCTGCAATAGAACACATGTCAGTCACTGAAAATCAAATTATATCACCACATGCCCTTTTTGAAATGATAATAGACAAGGTTAAAAGACACAGCCAAGAGAATGAGGCTGATAATGTACAACATTTCAAAACATAGAGTATTTCAATATAAAGTTTGTGCTTTACAACAAGCCTTTAAACTTAGAGCAATGGAAATCTATTTATTATATCTGCCAGTCTAGGTGAGAAAGAGAGAATGATGCAGTGTGGATTGTTTTATTGTCAAATGCTGTGTTAAATCCAAAACAGAGTACGCTGTAAAAAAGATATGTTATGTCTCAGCAAATAAAACAGGACAAATCCTGATTTTTTTATTTGAATATTTTTGTAAATTAAAAACTACTAAATGATTGGTGTGACTGTACAGTTTACATTGAAAACCTAATTAATGATTAACAGTTAATTTCTGGACAAAATTTGGAATTACCTGTAACAGATCTAGCATGCTGTATGTTTTCAAGAAAGTAAGAGACATAGAAGTTGATAGAGACACTATCACTTGCCCTCTGCTCAACACAGGCAGACTGGAATGCAACAGAACAGCATCAAGTCTCATCACTCAAAAATGATCCTCAGGAAAACAGCCAGGAAAACATATTTCTGCAGCCAGAATCTCCAGTCCTACAGCCTCTGTCACCAAACCCGTTCTCATTGTCACCTTGCTCGCTTCTCTTGGGTTTTTCAAAAAAGATGGAGGAACTGGTGTATGCTGGAACTAAACTTTCACACTCCATTGCCATAAGCCCCCAGTTACCGACCAAAAAACGGCCTGCTCCACAACCACCTATGAGCCCACCTGGAAGAGCCCTCCGACTTTTGTCACACTGCCAGGGCCAAAACAACAACGCCACATCTTCAGCTGGTGAACACAACAGCTCTCTGTGATGCGTGTCGGGGGCCTGCTTAGATCACAGAGACTTTATCAAATGTTTACAAAACAAGCAGGAACCCAGTGTGTCTGCAGCTTTCTCTACGCAGATATGTGTTGTTACGTGACAGAAAACCAAAGACTTCTTTAAACCGTATAGCAAATCATTCAAATCTTGTGTCTATTACATGTAAATCTGAGACTACTGTAGTGAAAACGGCTAAAACTGTTAAGTTAGCACTTTTAAACATCCAATCACTCAACAATAAGTCACTTTTAGTCAATGATTTTATCAACACAAATTGCCTTGATTTTGTGCTTTTAAATGAAACTTGGCTAGATGACAGTTGTAGCGCAGCAGTTCTGAATGAAGCCGCTCCTTTAAACTTTGACTTTTTGAGTGTTTGCAGAGCTAATAGGAGAGGTGGAGACATCACTGCCCTGTTTAAAGATGTCTATGAATGTAAACAAGTGTCATTTGGTGACACTTTCAAGTTCAAGTTGCTTTATTGGCATGACATTTAGTACAGTATTGCCAAAGCACTTCAAATATGAAATATATTAAAGCCATTAAAAAAATAATAATAATACAGATAAGATATAATAACAAAAAAACTATACATTTGATAAATATAACAATACTAATAATAAAAAGTTTAAAATTATTTAAATTAGATACATGAATTTACATTAACAATTTCTTATGGTGTGTAGGATGTATACATATTTTGCAGCTAGTCTAGATGTGACTATTTGTCTTTTAAATATCTGAGTATAGCACTAAAAGGGGCTCCACGCATCTTACTGATCATTAGCTACAGACCTCCAAAATATTCTCCAGCTTTTATTGATGATTTTATAGAGCTGTTATCAATAGTAACCTCTAAATTTGACAATTTTAGTATTGCTGGGGATTTTAATATTCACATTGATAATACAAAAATCAATGCTGTAAAAGAACTGTTTGAAGTGTTTTTAACACTTTTGATTTGACTCAGCATGTTCAAGGTCCCACACACAATCGTGGACACACTCTTGATCTACTTATAACTAAGGCTTTACACAATTAATCGACTGTTGTTAAGGATGTTGCACTATATGATCATTTCTGTATTTTCTTTGATATATTGATCACTCCAGCTTTTAAAGACAGATCTGTCTCTGTCAGAAAGAGATGTATAAATGAGAACACCAGTGAGCAGTTTATGAAGGCCATATCGCTAGCACCAAGTATATCTGCAGACACTGTTGATTAATTCTCGCACACTCTTTGCAACGATAGAGAGACTCACAACTGTACAAATGTAATGAGTTTGCTAATTTCTTTACTGACAAGATCAATAATATCAGAAAGGCAATAAGCTCATCCAATCAGCCAAGTTGTGTCGAAGTCAGACTAGCTCAACCACAACTTAAGAAGTCAGACATTATGTCTGATTTCATGGCAATTAATGGTAAAACCTTAGAGGAGATCGTACAAGTTATTAAAACATGCAGTCTAGACACGCTCCCCACATCATTCTTTAAAACAGTGTTTACCTGTTTAGAAAAGGATCTTTTAAAGGTGGTAAATGCTTCACTTCTCTCAGGGATTTTCCAAACTCTCTTAAAACTGCAGTTGTTAAACCCCTCTTGAAGAAGAGCAACCTGGATAACACCCTATTTAGCAATTACAGACAAATCTCAAATCTCCCTTTCATTGGCAAAATCATTGAAAAACTTGTTTTCAACCAGGTTAACAAGTTCTTAAACTTCAACGGGTGTTTAGACAATTTTCAATCTGGTTTCAGAGCGCCCTTTTAAAGATAATCAATGATATCCGCCTAAATACAGATTCAAGCAATCTAACAGTGCTGGTACTGCTCAATCTCAGTGCTGCATTTGTCATTGTCGATCACAGCATACTTCTAGATAGGCTGGAAAACTGGGTTGGGCTATCTGGGACAGTCCTTAAATGGTTCAGATCTTACCTTGAAAGGAGAGGTTACAATGTCAGCATAGGTGATCATAGGTCGAGGTGGACACCAATGACATGTGGAGTCCCACAAGGCTCGATTCTGGCACCTCTCCTGTTCAACCTTTATATGCTCCCTTTTATCCAAATAATGAGAAAGAACCAAATCTTCTACCACAGCTATGCTGATGACACTCAATCTACTTAGCCTTACTGCCTAATGACTACAGCGCCATTGACACCCTCTGTCAATGCATTGATGAAATTAACAGTTGGATGTGCCAAAACTTTCTTCAGTTAAACAAAGAGAAAACTGAAGTCATTGCGTTTGGGAACAGACATGAGGTTCTCAAGGTGAATGCGTACCTTGGCACTGTAACATTACTGTTAACATATATATTGTAACATATATGCTGGAGATAAACGTTCCGTTCAATATTCCATGAAAACGGTCTGGTTTCAATTTCCATGGCAATTTAGATCACTCGGGGACGGAAAGTCTGGCCTAAAAAAATTCTTGCTGACAAGTAACGAGTTTGGGACACTTCACAGAGCTGTCCTAAGCGACTCTCTACCGACTTCAAAAGAACATGACAGATAAGATAAGAGAAGAAAAAACCCATTTGTCAGCCCTCTCCTCACAGAAGAAAAAGATATTCCTCTCCAATGTTTTTTTATTTAAACAAAGACATTTAGAACCCAAATCTCTTGTTTAACTAAACTTAACTTTTGTAATGAGTACCATTCCTCATAGTTTATACAAATTCGTACTTTTAGGCCCTTTTTAAAGCATAAATAATGTGAGGATGGGAAAAATTATGTTGATGTACTTTTAAACCCCCCATGTTTGGTACCGATGGGTTTCTGCTGACATTTTACAACACATAATGCATAGAGCAAGATCATAACTCGCATTGCTTTATTCTTTAAATCCCTGTATTAAATGCCTGTCCGCATGCTTTGGGCGGACACTCAAATTCGCATACGAGCAGCCTTGAGACAAAGGAAGGATTCGCACTCAAACTTTCCCCTGAAATCATTGGTCAGAATGCTGAACGGGTTGTCACGTGACCCGCAGGTATAACCAGGCTTCTCCCTAAACATCCTGCAGAGTAAATATTTCAAACCTGGTGTTTATTGTTTTTAGAAAATATCAAAAATCTTTTTTTTTCAGACAGGTCTTTGTAAAATGAAAGTTAGACTATAAGTGGTTTTAAAACGGTTTGATTTATGTATTGTGTATAGGCTATCTACATTGTTATAGCAAGCTTTTTATTTTATTTTATATTGGTTAATTTATTTAATGTGATTTTATATATATCCGATATTTGTAATTCTTTAAATTATATTTCAATATAGCTTAGGCTATTTTATCAAGATATGACACTATATTGTTTTAAGTCTACGAAAGCGGGCACGTAATTTGTTAAGTTTTATGTCTTTCTGTTGTATTTATTTTGTGTATTATCTCCAAAATAAATAAAGGAAAAAGCCACTCGAGGTATCAACAGAGCTGGGAAGGAGCGCTCTTGCCCGGTCTCACACACATACATATACAGGCATCTAAACGCGCACAAACAAACATTTTAAACTTGACAAAAACTCTCGAAAACCTTTACTGTCTGCTGTGTCTTTAATATGGTGTAAAGATTATTATGCGTTATTGAAACATAAAGGAGGACGCAGCAAAAAACGTCACTATAAATTAAAACTACTTTATTATTTTATCCAGCAGCCTTACATTTAAAATGGAAACATAAGGGCGATCATACGCAAAAAGACCCCAGACTATGAGGCCAGATGTTTTCTTTCCCTTATTTCTTTATTTTTTTGGCGCATGTACTCATGTGCGATCAGAAAACTGCCCGCCTCTCCTCTCACTCCGCCCCGAAGCCCCAGTTGGCCCTCCTTGGCCCAAGGTATTCGGCAGGCTAAAAAAGGCCGGCCGCTGGCCCCAAGAAAGCCAGCGCTGTCAGCCCCAAAGGCCAAG